AAAATCTGGGAAGGCAGCCCAGCCCAGAGATCGGTGGGGGGATGGTTCGATTTGGATCAACTTGACCCAAAATAATACGTGGTTTGTATTTTCTAAGCATTTTTTTCTTTTTTAATAAAAAAGCAAGCACAGTGAAAGATCTCATGGTGGAGGAAATGTCATTTTTCCCATTGAAAAGCAAAACAAAACAAACCAGAAAAACCCCAAACCTTGCAGGCAGAAAGTTGCTGCCAAGAACTGACGCATAAGGGCCGGAGCTGCCTGCTTGTGCCGCGAAGGCATCGGATCGCTGCCTCCAGCTCGCCTTGGTGCCCGTGTCCCCGGCCGCCCTGCTGCCCGAGACTTCATTGCAGTCTCCAGCTGCAGCTCTGGGGACAAGGACAGCTGGGGAAATATATTAAAAAAGCTGCCTCTGTTCTTGCCCGGGCCGTGCTGCTCCAGTGCGCTGAGTGCTGAGCCTCTGAGCTGCACGGCCGCGTGCCCTCCGGCCGGGCCAACCTAACCACCGACTTGCGAGAAATGGCCCTGGAGCCGACAGAAACAGCCCCGGCGGAGCCAAGGGAGTGAGGTCAGCGCCGGCAAACCCAGGCCTGACTCAGGCGCTCGGGGCTCGCTGCGGCCTCGGCAGCACCGACGTGTTCCCTCGCTCCCCGCGAGCCGCGGCCGAAGAGATAAAGCAGCAGCGGGTCTGTTAGCTCAAAACAAAAAGCTCAAAACAAAACAACAGCAAAAAATCACTTTTCAGCTCCTTTCAGAATTGCACGGGACATGCGGAGGCAGCGCAGGCTGAGCGGAGAGGCAGCAGCGCGTCGCAGCGGTGTCCGCTCTCAGCATTGGCTTGGTGCAGTTTCCATCCTAGGAGCCACCGGTCAGTGGCACTGGAAACAGGCCGGGTGCAGGAGCTGTATGCGGGAAATTAGTCTGGAAGGCACGCTGGAAACTAATGCTAACAGCATTCTTGGAAGCCCTGTCCCTGACAAAAAAAAAAAAAAATAGGGATTTCCTAAAATGACTGAAAATGAATTTGCAACATCTGTGAACAGTGGGTTGCCTATCTCTGAAGGTGGCGAAGGAAGAGTTACAGTCAGCAGCTCCGTGGTTTAACTGGCAAAAGCCAACGTGCACATAGACTACAGAAAGCGCCAGGTACACTACTAAGTGCCTTAAGTCCTGAATGCTTGGACATTGGGACTGTTAGTAACTGTGGAGTTAAAACTCCACAAATGTGCGCAATCTAAAAATACACTCTTTTTGGCCAGAAAAAAAAAAAAAAGAGTTGTTTTTTTGGAATCAGGAGCAGCTTGTAATTAAAGCCAACAGTATGGAACTCTGTAACTGATCTGCTCGGAACAAAATATTTGGCTACCTGAAGAGAACCAAAACCTTTTAATTTTTTTGGAAAGGGGCTTACAGAAGTTAAAGAAGAAACATATGAACTTGTGGAGGAAAAGGAAACAATGCAAGCAAATTAAAACAGGCAAAGGGTCGAGCTCCTTGTTGGGCAAACATAGGTAGAAAAATAGAAAATAGAAATGGGAGTAGCTTTACTCCGATGAACAGCCCAGTCAGTGATTGTGACAGCAAATTGGCTGATCTGTTAAAAAAAGCTATAGAAACCGAAATGATCTTATGCCATTGATCTCAGTTTAGCACTCTACAATGATACACTTTATGAGCAGGATTTTGTCTTATTTTCACTGAGGCATTTTTAACAGATTTACAGTGATGACTCCAATGAAATTACACGCATGGTAAGGGAAAGTTTAGCTTCATGGCAGAACAGCTCTATCCGAGTGATTTAACTCCTCGAAATTTGCCATTTTCAGCTGCAAAGGAAAATCTCGAAGGCATGATTCCAGTGAGGATGTTTAGTCAAACAGTGCCAGATGGATGTGTGGGATTCACCTTATGCTTTGGTTATGAATGAAAGTAGTGAGCTTGGAATTTGCTGAGGACTATTGCTGCTTAAAGAATTATGGTCAAGATACGGTTAATGCAGCCATGCTTGGGTCTGCTCCGACTGGTGGACCTGTGGAAATGAGAAGGAAAGGAAGCATATGGGAAGTCCGGTCCAAGGAGGTTGCCTACATGAATCCAGCACGCCATCAGCCCTTTGGCTTGGGTTTAAAGCGATGCCACAGTTCCTTGGGGCTTTATGGAATTTGCAACAGAACTGTTGATACCTTCCGTCTCCTGGGACCTCCACACAGAGCCCAGCTCCTGCTGCCATGTGAGGGGCGCCGTCGCTCTTTCCAC